CCAAAAATTCAAAGTGTATAGTTCCCTAAATAACAACTATCACCAAGCGTATCCAAAGACCATGGTATGTACCATGGTGTTGATTTTTACACCATTGGTTGGGTAGAAGATAATAACTCAATTTGTTGATACATGTCTATTTGATTTCGCGTTAACTGGTAGCAAGCTACATTGAGGGAGAAATTGGCATCGTTTGTTGTCAGGGTCACCAGTTGACCCTTTGAATTTGTGGAGTCAGCCCCCAAAACAATTTGGGTACATGTTATGTGGTGAACGCTTAGGTGTTGGGGTCATTGTATGATAGTTATTATATATGAGGAAAAAAGTGATATATATTTTGTAGTGGAAGCGAGTGTGGTGTGTTTGTGGTGAAGTACATGGAGGAGATCACCCGGGGTGTGGATTTTAACTTTGATCCAGTAGGTACATATGAATTCCGTGTGTAAGAACACATAGAACTATATCCCATCACTACTAAATTATGATACCTTTGTTGTAGGGAATGATTGATGTTATTAGGTGGGAGATAGAGGCTCAACTCATCCGGAACTGTATTTTTTGATTTGCACACGCTATGAGGAAAGATGTGGGTTCGTATAACACAGTGTGATTGTGGTGAAATAGGAAGATGTCTTCAAAACCTTTTATTTTATTTTTTATCTCTTATCTAACCAGTGTAAACAGATATTAACAATGTGTTGTTAGTTTAAACTATGTTTTCTCTTTATTTATGCTGTTACAATGGTGTTAACTAAGACTGCTCATCTGGAACTGTATTTTGTGATTTGCACGCGCCGCCAGCTCTCATCTTTCAACCCTCTCATCTTTCTCTTCTTCTTCTTCTTCTTCTTCTTCTTCTTTTCTTCTTCTTCTTCTTCTCTTTTCTCTCTTATTCTTCTTCCTTGTATGATCACAAGGTATCAGAGCAAACATTGATTCTGGGCAATAGTTTCTTTTCGCTGAGGAGTATTCTCTCAACCAAATAAGAGGACCCGTGATACAATGAATCCCATGTGCCTATGGCATTACCGACTTAGCCACATTAATATAGATCGTATCACAAGGTTGGTAAAGGATGGTCCTTTGTATTTTCTAACTATAGAAGATCTTCCAACCTATGAACCTTGCCTTTAGGGTAAGATGACGAAACAACCATTTAACAGTAAGCTTGAAAGATCGACAAGCACACTTGACCTTATACATACTGATGTATGTGGTCCCATGAATGTTAGGACACATAACCAGTACGTTTACTTCATAACATTTACCGATGATTACTCACGATATGGTTACGTGTACCTAATGAGACATAAGTCTAAATCTTTTAAAAAGTTCAAAGAATTCAGACATGAGGTTGAGAAATAGTTAGGAAGAGAATTTAAGACCCCTCGATCAGATTGAGGCGGCGAGTATCTCTCTGACGAATTAAGGGACTACTTAAAGGACAATGGGATTGTCTCATAGCTACCTCCTCCTGCTACACCACAGCTAAATGGTGTGTCAGAGAGGAGGAACTGGACTATATTGGATATGGTCCGATTACTTCTCATACACTCAAAATTACCCACATCCTTTTGGGGATATGCATTACAGACTACAATATACATGCTGAACCGGGTTCCAACCAAATCAGTTCCAAAGACTCCCTATTAGCTTTGGACCGGTAAGAAAACCAAGTGTGAGACACTTGAAGATTTGGGGTTGTCCGGCACATTTTAAAAGAAAAGGTGCTGACAAATTGGAATCCAAGACCAGTCGTTGCCTATTTATAGGCTACCCCAAATTCTCTGTGGGTTACTTATTCTATGACCAGGAGAACAGAAGGTGTTCTGTAGTTGAAATGCCCATTTCTTGGAAGATGATTACATCCTGAACAATCATCGTCAAGAAGTTGTTCTTGATGAGGAGAGCTCAGGGGTAGTGGGAGATGTCCCACAAGCACAAATTAATGACCAACCTAAAAGATCTGCCCAGGTTTCCCGGCCTCCAGTTCATTTCGGCTATGACCAAGAAAGTTACTTGGTGGAAGCCACGACCAGTGAGGAGGATCCCGTGACTTATACGGAAGCTATGTTGGACGTAGATTCCTTGAAGTGGGTACATGCCATGAGAGCTGAGATGGACTCAATGGAGACCAATGGAGTTTGGACTCTAGTAGATTCGCCCCTAGGGTAAAAGCAATTGGTTGCAAATGGATCTATAAGAGGAAGAAGGGCTCCAATGGTAAGGTTGAGACCTACAAGGTTCATCTTGTGGCGAAAGGGTACACTTAGAAAGAATGAATCGATTATGAGGAAACCTTTTCGTCAGTGGTCATGCTTAAATCTATTAGGATCCTACTAGCTGTAGTAGCATAATGTTTACGAGATTTGGCAAATGGATGTCAAAATTGTGTTCCTGAATGGAGATTTTAGTGAAGATATCTATATGCAGCAACCGCAAGGTTTCATAGCTACGGGTAAGGAATTCATCTGAATGGGCGATCAAAGTGACAGGATCAGCCCCTTTATCAGACAAAGTGAATGATTAGCGATGCACTCTCTCTGATGGAAACCTAAATTGTCGGCAGTTGATTTCAACTATTGAATTTTGTTTTGCAAAATATATTTATATAGAAATACATAAAGATATTATGGTTTCGAAATTTTTTAATTCCTGGGATCCATGTGAGTAGAGAGTGCACCATTGTACCTTGCAGCTGAGGGAGAGGTCCTCTCTTGTCGGGCAATGTTTGATCATTATGCTGAGAGGTTAAGTGTAAGACCATTGAGGGAAATACATGATGGGTTAATCTTGCATCTGCCCACAGTCTTTGGGTTTTTATAAGGTGGCTTGACCCAGGGACCATTTAGTGTAAATGTTGGACCCATTAAGAGCCCATGGTGATGGACTCAGAGATTCACTATCTTCTACAGTGAATTCGGCTAGGCCTTGTAACAGAGGCTGGGTTGAACCCATGTGGCTGATGTATAGATCAATGTTTAGGTCCACACCATACAAGGATAATCAACTGGGTAGCAGTTAGGAGGCTAAGTGAGTAGATGGACTTAATGGGCCTAAAGCCTAATTCGAACTAGCTTAATGAGATTAATTAAAAGGAGGCAGTTCTGGGATTTATATCAACAAATAGGATAAGGGATTATCCATATCCACTCAAAGAGTCCAAATCCAAATAAAGATTTGGATCAAGAAACTCCTAATTAGGTTAGGAAGGCTGATCTTTATTTGCAGATAAAATAAGGGACTATCCCTATCTCTTAAAGAGAGTCCAGATCCAAATACAAGATTTGGATTAGGAAACTCCTAATGGGATTAGGAGAACCTCTCTTTAAGGCTATAAATAGGAGAGCAGGGCGAACCCTCAGACACAACAGAAATCATCTGACTGACTGCTGAATTCCAGAGAGAGACAACACAGTTTGACTGCACTGTCTCCTTCTCTCCTGCTCTTGCCACCATACCAGTTCAATCTCTACCTATGAGAGCGATCAAGAAGGGTTCTTGATATTACCTTTTGGCAGAAAAGGTAATCTGAAGTCGTGCTCACTAGCCCTTCATCAAATTCTTGCTGAAGAATTTAGTTCTTGCTGAATAACCATCCTGCTGATTCTGCTTCATCCTACATCGTGTCATCTTCGGTGAAAGCAGTCTTTGGATTTTTCCTTGGGCGTGAACACCTTCATTGGAGGTTATTATTATTACTTCGTATCAGGTATATCCCTCTACTCCCTTTTGGTTTCAGATCTGGTCTGGTGTCTGGTTTAGGTTCAAGATTGATTCTTGAAAATGCATTTTTCTAAAATAGGGAATGTGATTCCCACATGGGAAAGAGAGAAATTTTTGAAATTTTTCCCAACCTTCATGTAGGGTTCGGCCATCCATATGATGGATCTCTCATCCCTTCAGGAAGACCTAGTAGGGTGTAAGTGGGTATTTACAGTGAAATAGGAAGATGTCTTCAAAACCTTTTATTTTTTTCTTTATCTCTTATCTAACCAATGTAAACAGATATTAATGATGTGTTGTTAGTTTAAACTATTTTTTCTCTTTATTTATGTTGTTACATTGGTGTTTGCTAAGACTGTTGGCAGCATGTTCTTTTCTTTTGTTTAGGGTGTGCCGTTAGCAGCCTATGAGCAATTTCTTGTAATTGTTATAAGACAAATTTTAAATAAAAGAGAAGTTGGGCACCGCCAGCTCTCATCTTTCTCTTCTTCTTCTTCTTCTTCTTCTCTTTTCTCTCTTATTCTTCTTCCCTGAATGATCACAAGGTATTAGAGCAAACATTGATTCTGGGCAATAGCTTCTTTTTGCTAAAGAGTATTCTCTCAACCCAGGCATCAGTTTTTTTTTTTTTTTCTGGACTATGAAGACAAAAAACTTGAAATCGGATTGATGAGAAACATCTCTTGTTTCTTCTTCTAGGTTCTTCCTTGGTCGTAGCACCAAGGTAACCCTAATTGGTGGAAGTTGGTGCTATGAAGCTTCCTTGTCTCCTTCTATTGATGCTGTGAAGATCTATAAAACCTATTTTTGACCTTCGGATGATGTTGTGACCTTCAGCTGGTGTTGTGAAGGCTTGGCTCCTTTCACTGATGCTGTGAAGACTAAACAACTTCCTTTTTTTGACCTTCGACTGATGTTGTAAAGGTCTGGTTATGTTTTTGTAGCTTTATATAGGTGTTGTACAGGGGTGTGCGGTCCCCTTTGTCCAAGTATGTGCTAAAATTAGTGTGTGAAGTGTGGAATTTACAGCAGTATACTTGGTACAACAATTTTCTTCTTCCTAGACTATTTATGTGTTGCAGTAGTGTGTATATGCTTTCAAAGTAGGGTGTGGTGTTTTATGCCTTAATTGTGACTATTAGAAGTAGTACTCATGTGAGTACTGGTTTTGTGTACCTATAGCTTTTTGTTCTGGCTTGTAGACCTGCCTTTGAAAAATAGCGAACGATGATTCTGCATCATCTAGGGTTACATCAACCCAAGGTACAGCAGGTATGGGGACTGAAAGCATGATGTTCCCTATGCCGATCACTCCATTGAATGGCCTGAACTACTTGGAATGGACCAAAGGTGCAAAACTTTATGTAACAGCAAGGGGAAAAGTTGGCTACATAAATGGAACGGTGAAGGAACCCAAGAGTGGGACTGCTGAACATGATCGGTGGGACCAAGAAAACAATATGGTGATGTTCTGGCTTCTTGCAGCCATGGAATCTGATGTGAAAAGGAATTTTATGTGGGAAGATACTGCAAATGAGATATGGGAACAGGCCAAAACCACCTATTCAAAGCAAAGGCACTTTGCTAAGATCTACCAGTTACAAGCTGAATCATCAACCTGTAAACAAGGAAACCACAACCTATCAGCCTATTATTCATCTCTTACCTCAATGTGGAAAGAATTAGACCACTATCAAGCTATAGAATGGAAACATAAGGATGATTCTAGAGCCTATAAGAAGTTGGTTTCTCAACAATAGGTTTTTGCCTTCTTCTTGGGGCTAAAGCCCATATATGAACCCCGAGTTCAGATTTTAGGAAGTAAAGAGTTACCCTCAGTCTAAGAGGTGTATGCCCTTGTTCAGTCTGAGGAAAGTAGTAGGAGGAGTGTGATGGTTACAACTGAGGGGGAGCAACCGGTAGCATTAGCTACAATGGGTGAAAATAAGATGGGAAAGAAAAATGACTCCAATAAAGTCGAAGATAAGGATAAGTTGTTCTGCACTCACTGTCGTCGTTCAAGACATACTCATGACACATGTTGGGAGCTTCATGGGAGACCAAAGTGGGCTGTAAAGAACCAAGAACAGGGTAAGGTACAAAGTCAGAAGAAGCCTAATGCAACTCATAATGCAGCAAATGTGGTAACCCAAGAAACTCAGTCTACTATGGTGCCAACTGATACTACTCGAGAACGCTTCATTGGTTCTGACCCCAAGGAAGACATTATGAATCCTTCTGTAGTTACTTGGAATCATATGGTAGGGCCTTGTGCCATATGACTTGTCCCCGTCCCGTGGTAAGTTGGATCCTCGGTCTATTCCATGGGTCTTTCTGGGGTATCCCTCTTTGCAAAAGGGTTACTGATGCTTTGATCCCATTGGCCATAAGTTCTTTGTCTCCATGGATGTCTCTCTTTTTTTGAGTTTGAACTATTTTTCCCTGATTCTCCTCAGGGGGAGAGTAATGTGGAAGAGGAGAAGCAGGCCTAGGTTCGTCAAGTCTTCCTTGCTTTTATTCCGGATCTCGATCCTTTTCGTGTCTTCCAATGTCAACATCATATATATTAGCAATGTGACAAGGATGTGGAGACACCAAACATTGAGCAACCAATAGTCTGATTTCCAGGAGGTAATTCCAACACCTATTGATCCCATAGCCCTCGTTTCGGTTGTGGGTGACCTTGACATTCCTATTGCTCATAGAAAAGGAGTCAGGTCATGCACTACCAAACACCCCATTACCCAGTATGTGTCCTATGACAACATTTCCCCCTCTCACCATTCCTTCTTTTTTGTAGTTGATAGTATTCTCATACCTAGAAACGTGGTAGAAGCTTTAAAATACCCTGAATGGACAGATGATATGAAGGAAGAGATCAATGCCCTCCATAAGAATCAAACATGGGAGTTGGTGGATCATCCAATAGGGGAAAACCCAGTGGGGTGTAAGTGGGTATTTACAGTGAAACACAAGGCAAACAGGACAGTTGAAAGGTACAAAGAAAGGCTGGTAGCTAAAGGGTACACCCAAGTTTATGGTGTTGACTATGACGAGACATTTTCCCTAGTAGCCAAGATGATCTCAATTTGGGTTCTTCTATCATTGGCTGCAAACCTTGACTAGAAATTGCATCAACGGGATATTAAGAATTCCTTTTTAAATGGTGATTTGGAGGAGGAGGTGTACATGGTTCAACCCCCTGGTTTTTGTGCAAAAGGAAGTGAAAGTATGGTGTACAAATTAAGAAAGCCTTTCTATGGCCTAAAACAATCTCCTCGAGCGTGGTTCAGTAAATTTCATATAGCAGTTCAACAAGGTGGGGTTCAAACAATGTCAGTCTGATCACACTCTCTTTGTGAAGAGGCATCAAGAACAAGTGGTTATGTTAATAGTACACGTAGATGATATCATCATTACAGGAAACTGGAGCACAAAAATACAAAAGTTGAAGGAATTCCTAGCCTCTCAATTTGAAGTGAAAGGTCTAGATCCCCTAAACTACTTTCTTGGAATTGAAGTTGCCTGCTCAAAAAGGGGCATTTTCATCTCTCAGAGGAAGTATATCCTAAATCTGTTACAGGATACAAGTAAGTTAGGTGCAAAACTAGCCAATACCCCTATGGATGTTCACCATAAACTGGGAAATTGTGATGGTGAACCGCTAAAAGATGTGAAACAATTTCAAAGACTACTAGGGAGGTTGCTTTATTTGTCTACTACTCGCCCTGACATTGCTTACTTAGTTGGGGTCCTAAGCCAATTCATGTATTCCCCTAAAAGACAACACATGGAGGCAGTAGGGAGAATTCTTAGGTACTTGAAGAAGTATCCAGGAACAGGATTACTATTCAGCAAACATAATCATTTGAAAGTGGAAGTCTACATAGATGCTAACTAGGCAGGTGTTGTGGATGATAAAAAATCCACAAGTGGGTATTGTACCTTTGTAGGAGGAAATCTAGTGACATGGAGAAAAACGAAGCAAAATGTAGTGGCAAGGTCAAGTGTTGAAGCAAAGTATAGAGCTATGGCAAATGGGGTGACTGAAGTTGGTGGGTCATTGTGACACTAGCAAGTGCACTAGTTGTTCAAGTAATAAAGAGATGAGTAGAGTATCGTTCCCGCGAGGATTTAGGAAGCAACTATTAATACTAAATTGGTTAATTCTTATCTAATTAACAAAATATTACAACTTTATTCAAATCCAAAATCCTAAGCTACAATCTACCTAAGAAGCATTGGCTCAAATACCTTGCATTCAAGATGAAAGAGTAAGCTAAAAATCCAAATTCATGATTCAGCAATCAACCTTCTTAATTCATTTGAATAGGACATAATTCAGCCTTGGCTTGGTGAAACCCCAAGGCAATGAACATCATCTTTCAAGTACATGTTCATCTTATGCAAGAATGATGATTCTTATATTTCTATCAAGAATCTAATTATTCATGCATTTAATCAAACACTTCAAGGGCATCAATTCAGATTTGAATTGATCACCAACTGAATTGTGCAAGTTATCTCTAACCTTGCATGCAATTCAGTTCTTGAATAACAAATCTGAATTTCTAGAGTCTCTCTCAAGCACTCTAGAAATTCCAAGAGTTAGATCAAATCGGCCAAGCTGAAATATGAAGGTCTAAATTCTTTCCCAAGCAATTCAGTCCTTACAAATCTCATATCTGAAATTTCAGATCTAGATTTTTAAGAGATCAATTCGGCCAATCTGATCTACAATTCATACTTTATTCAAGAAACAACAAGATTAGATCTAGTCTATTTGAATGCTTCAAAGAACTTGATTACAATCTGAATTTTACAGCATTTGATTACAACAAGAAGGAATGAAAGAAAGGAAGAGAAATTTCATGAATTGAAGTTGAATTCGAACTCAAGAAAACACAAATTAAGTAGAAATAAAACAAAGAATCTCTCAATCATGCTTTTCCCCAATTCAAACTCACCTTCTTCTCTCTTGATTTCTTGGATCTTTTTAGCCCTTCTCCTTCTTGCGCCTAGCTCCTTCTCCTCTCCTCTCCTCTTCTCTTCTCTTCTCTTCAAGAATTTCGAACCCAAGGGGAGAGCCTTGAATTCCAGCAATTGAACACTCTCCCCCTTCAAGAGGCCTCCTTAAATAGGCTTTCAAGGAGCCTAGGATGCTGCCACCTCACCCCTCTTTTGAATCTTCTAGAATAGATTGCTCTTCTCTCTTCTTCTTGAAACCTCTAGAAGTTGCCGCCCCTTGCTCCCTTTGGACTGCATTTTGGGCTACAACTAAGCTGAGTTTTGAGCATATTTTGGTTGTACTATAGGCTGATTTTGGGCTGAAAGTGGGCTCCTCTTTGCTGGGCCGAATTTAGCTTGTTTGCTAGGCTCTCTCTTTGGGTTCCCCCAAAGATTGTAGCATGGGCTACATGGACTGATTGCTCCTCCATTGCTCTCTTGGCTAGGCTGGGATAAATTGATTAAATTTTGGCTATCTTTTCTTACTTTATGCCTTATTTTTCTTGAGTTGGTTTCCCCTGAATTCTTTCTCGAAATTGAACTAAGATAGGGTGAAATCCAATCAAACCGGCATAAAATTCATACAAAAATTGCATAATTGTAAGTAAACCATGTACTCATCAAATACCCCCACACTTAAGCTTTTGCTTGTCCTCAAGCAAAGACATCAGCCATAAACTGATCATCTCCCAATTTTATTCTCACCATTTACCGGATGAGTTTGTAGAAGGGAATTGCATTGAGTGGTCGGGAAACATTTGTAAGTATTCAGCTCCTATTCATGTAAACTACTATTTAACACATGCATAAGAGCCAAGGAAAGAGAGAATATGAGATTCTTCAAGATCTAGTTTTCACTCCCGTTCAATATGTAGATCAACTCCTTGACTACGAAAATTAACCATCAATTTGAACTAGGTTCGAATCTGTAAATGCACTTCATTGAGAGTTCAACTGTATTTTGTCCCCTTGAACCTCAGCCGTCACCAATTTTTCTTTTTTCTTCCCTCAATTGTTTTCTAGGTGTGAGTGCATTTTATGCTCCATCTCACTTTTTTTTTGTGTGAGTGCATTTTATGCTCCATCTCACACTAGTTATAGGCTTGAGGTAGATAACAGGACTCATATTCCAATCTGTTAGTAGTACTATTCAACTCGAAATAGCAAAGTCAATTGGACTTTGTCCTTTTGCAGATGTTGAATCTCATGCATTAACAGTTCATATGTGAACTAGCTCGACTGACCATTAATAATGAAATCAAGTGCTTTCATACACATGAAGGTAGTTAGGGCTGGTCAAGATGAAAGACATATTCAGCCCCCCCTTAACCTCATGCATGTACTCCTGATGAGACTGAAAAGAACCCTATTTTTGTTCCTTAATTTTCATCTTTTTACATTACTTTAGCACTTAAATGAACTCATTACTCTTGTATTTCGATTTAGGGCAATAAAGAAGGCAATTGGAAGAAAAAACAGGGCAAATCGGGTGATTTTGCACAATTTCGGCGACAGTCAGTAATCAGAGCCTAACTCTCAATTCCAGACTCTGAATTGGACAATTCAAGAAGCATTAGAAAGATGAAAGGAAGGCCCACAACTTTTATGTTTTGGGTTTTGACAGACTCGACACGAATTAAGTACGAAAATGAGCCTGAAGTCGGAGTAAGTTCGCAGCCAGGCCCATTTCACAACTGAAGCCCAACTCGTAGAAGTACCTTGAAACAACCCAAGTTATCAAAGCAGCTCAACT